GGGGGGGGGGGGGGGGGGAGAGATTAGGAAGGTATTTGTAAGGGCATAGTAGTAATTAGTTTGGAGTGTCTGGGTAATAAATAAGGAGCGTTAGGGACCTTAGTGGATCATTCTTAGTGGGATTGTCCAGTCAGGGACTTGAAAGAGAGATAGCCCTCTCGAAAGTAGTTTCACTTTGGTATCGCAATATATTAGTATCTTGTGTTTTCTTTGTTTGGGCACCTAACAAAAGCCTGAAATGGTCAAATAAAAGCAGTACAAACTTCCATTCACGAAAAAAAGTGTGCATGAAGTTCATATTTTTCTTTTCGTCAAACAGAGATTAATTGAATCTGAACAAATTCATGTCTAAATAATTTCAGAACACTAGAAATCATGAAACTCATGTTGACAAGAAATAAAGAGCCAACCATCAACAAAAGCCTTGCCAGGCTTCTTTTCGCGTGAATGGAAAATCCAATTATTAGGAAACCGACTACTATCTGCTCCAACTTCAAGCGCTTTTTCAATTACCTGTGAAAACAGTTGCTTCATCAAAATGATCAAATATCTAACTAGGCTTACCATTGACCTTCCCAGGCTTTTTCCCCCACCGAAAATGAAACAACCATTCTTCAGGAAAGTTGTTGGACTCAGCATCAACATCAACTGCTCGTTTAAGGACCTACAGGTGGTTCCTCCATACTTTCCATGAAGACTGAATGTTTTACTAAAAAAACTCAACAGAGTGCAGCATGCCTTAACTCCAAGTAGGGCGGCAAGGTTTTGGGACGATTTGGATGGGGGAGAGAAAAGAGCAAAGCCGTACCTCTTGTATGCTCTTGTGCAAAGCTGCACAACTTTCTTTGGATAGGGTAGCAGCACTTTGATTTGGATGAATTCTCGCCTGAGAGAATTTTTAAATAGATGTTTTTAACTGATTAGTCCTCACTCCTCATCTAAAGCCCCAAAAGTAATCTCTAGAAATGGAATTGAAAAGAGAACTGTATCCATATTTTCACACGCAGAGTAACACCATGAAATAAACCTCACCGGGCATCCCTATGATTTTAATCACATTGTATTTCAGGCTAACAAAATAAGGTGAACTTACTTGATATAGTACTTCATCTGCAACCCAATTGCCAATACCCGAAATATAGCTCTGCGAAGTTAGACAAAGACTAATAAGAATCATCATTTTAAAACTAAGCAAATAAATTTTCATTTCTAATCCTGCGTAACATTGCGGTTCATAACACTCTGGGATACTGCAACTTCACAGAGTCAGTTCTTTAATCTAATACCAAAATGATCGAACACTGAACATTACAAAACAACGCAATCCTATTGTTGAACCTCAGGGCATGGACACAGCTTCAACTAAATCTAAAAACTATGCTTTGTGAAAGTAGATTTCTGAGAAATTTGTAGAAATTTTTACCTGATCAAGCAATAGAGTCTTAATAGCCAGTTTCTTCTTGCCCAAGGATTCAACAAAGTCATCCAGTGCCATAGGCTCTAAAAGAGCATCTGGGCCAAGCTTAGATATTGGGGGCACTGAAGCTGGCTGTAAAAACAAAACTGTTAGAGAAGCTAACAAGAATGTCCATCTATTGAAAGAATGTATGAACTTAGCGGCGATTCATTACTAAAATAACCAGATCTTAAAAGAATTCATGAAATAAAGGTGATTCACGAGTCATATTGAGGTACGTCTTTCAGCAGGCAGACTTTTGCAAACCGCCTTTTGTCTGTGAAGGATAGGTCTACACCATCGTCAAGCTGCAGAAGGAGAATTCCGGGATTATGTTGTAATGACATAAAGTAGAAAGAACTGAAGAAAATTTAATCTGTTGTGTGATCATAAATATCATAAATATATCTGAAGTAGAAGGTAAATTAATATAAAACAAATGAGCTCTTTAGTATACAAAGGCTCGCAGACAATTAGTTAGCAACCTTTTACTAGTTAGGAAAACACATGATCTTACCTCAACAAAGAACTTCGAGTACTTGGAAGGCCACTCATCATCTTCATTAACCACAGACCTGTATGTATCACCATTTGTTATTCGAAAATCAATCAGAAATTACTCTTTTGAAAGATCCTTGTAATTAATGACAAAAGCACATTGATATATTTGTAAGGATGTGATTGCATAATTTGAGCAGTCTAAATCATGTTCAGAAAATATGCGACCAAA